TTGTAGCCATCATACTGCTCAAACCCCTCTTTTGCAGCCCTGTTAGAGAAACGCAGATTTTGGGTCCTTCGCTTGAAAAAAAAGAAAAGAAGAGGAGGCGGAGCTAATGCCTGATCAGAATTCTACCGGAGATAAAGTTAAATTCGGTTGTGATAAAACGCCATCCTGTTTAAACCACGTCAAGGATTATTTCTGAAATAGTATGGAGCTCAAATGCTTTTTCTCTTGCAGGTTTATCACAAGGTGAGTTCTTTTTTATTTCCTGCTTTTTAAACACATGTGCTCTTCAGTACAGAGGCCTGTACTACGAAGCAGGATTTTCGCTTAGCGGGCTAACTTCAGGGAAAACTCTGGGTATCCGGTCCTACGACGCTGGTTCTCTTTTTAGCGGGCTAGATCTCCATGGTAACTTATGCTGAGCGGCTAACCTCCTCGGGAGGAGGTTAGGTTGCAGGCTAAGAGATCAACTCAGTGAAAGCACCGCCTGCTGACCAATCAGAGCTCCGTGTGCGGAGTTTAAAGCGATCAAGTCATATTACAGGATAGAGGAAATACAGAAAAACTGCCGTTGCAGGAAAGACGGCCGGCAAAAATCAACTGACTGTGTGAACGTGAAAATTAATAGAATATCCCCTCCCATCTTCAGAGCAATCTGACTATTATAACATTAGCGTTAAGAAAGCTTACTTAAATATCTGCCACAACATAAGTAACTGGATCAGAGTAACATTAAGTACAGTCCGCGGCACTGTGAGTGCAGACGTCGATGTGTCCCATTATCATTCATATCATATCACATCATAATGTATCATATATTTCCTTATTTGAGTCAGCTTCTTGAGCCGTATCTGGCCGTGCAACACTTACAGTGTCACATACTGTATGCAGAAGTATTATTTTAAGCAACACATTAAGTTGACGAAACACTCGAGTCAAATGTAATTAAAGTCAGATCCACTCGTGTCTTAACGGGGCAGTGATTTCATAAACCTGTTAATGTACGCATTCAAACACTTTTTCTTTTACCAGCTGTATTCACCTTGCAGGTGCAGCTAGGTGACTTTTATCCTGGATAAAGTGTTTAAGTCATGGATGTTTAAAGTTTAACTTCTTCATATTTGACTAATATTAAAGTTCACTTTTCATTCAGGAAGTATGACGCTGCGCTGTCAGTACGCTTGTCCATGTTTAAGATTGGTCGAATGCTCCAAATACCACCCCTTTCATGTGAACGCGCACCTAACTAGATAGGACACGGCGGCTTGAGCGATCCACTTGATATCCAGCGTCGTAGTACAGTTTAGCGCCAGCGCGTATGTTTTGGATTAGGCCAACCGGCTAACTCAAACATATCCAGGTTAGGTTGAACCAGCTCCGTAGTACAGGCCTCTGGTTAGCTCTGAGTGTTAGCGAGGCTTGCTAATGTAAACAAAGATGAGATTACGTCCAAAACACGTCAGGCATTGTTTCTGATAGCAACTTTCTGTGGGTCCGCCGCCGCTATGACGTCACAGCGGATGGACACGTCACAGCGGATGGAAATCTGTATCCATCCGCTCAAAGTCTTACTGTGTAAGATCATATATAACAACATGTGATGACTCTTTTCTCACAGGTTGTCATTTTCCTGATCATTTCTTAGAAAATGTCCTTCTAAATATGAAGTATTTGTTACTATCTAAGGAAAATAAAGTCAAAGTTTTGTTAAGTGGTGACATTCCGGTCACACCTTTGTGAGAAAAGATATATCTTATACATTATCATCAATTAAAGCTAAATACAGTTTTATATCATACAACTTTTCTCTTATCTTTAATAGTTTTTTAATGTTCTCTCTTTTACTGAATGGAACATATTATTACATGATCCTTCACCATGAAGCTGGATGGATGAATGTGGAGCAGCCTGCGGACACCCAGGCACATGTGTGTGTGTGTGTGTGTGTGTGTGGGGGGGGTCGACAGTCAGCTGCCCGACTCCCACCAAAAGGAACGACAACTGCAGGGAGGCAGCGCTAACAGCAGCAGCAGCAGCAGCAGCAGCAGTGACAGCGATATAAAACCAGAGATGGGGTTTATGGCGGGCAGAGAGCGGGGGATCAGCTGAATCAGCTGAGGATGTTTGAAGAAAGAGTCAGGCGTGATCAACGAGGGTCTCTGTTCCATCCTGAAACCTGTTCATACTCATTCAACAAGACATGGCTTTAGTCTCTTTAGGCTCTAAAACTTGATCCCTCATCCTTTATCTACATTACATTTGAAGAGAAAGGAGCATTGATGAATTTAAAGTTCCTAGATACATTTTCAAAACATTTTTACATTGAAACTCCTTTAACTTTTTCAGTAAAGAAGGATGTAGAGGAGCTCAAAAATGTCTAAATCACACAGAGAAATTATGAAAGTCATGGCATTTCATCCTGGGGTATTTGTTAAATACAGGGAACATTGTTATCTGGATGTAGTGCTTTGCTACATTAGAGTCAAAGGCATAGTTACTTTCAGGTTCAAATTCCACATTAGGAGCTTAACACATAGTTTAGTAGAATCAGAATAACTTTATTCGTCCCACAGAGGGGACATTTACAATTGTAGATGAAAAAAGTGTTTAGAAAATGTTGAGCTTGTTGAGCTTTATGTGACGTACATGTATCTTCTCTTTCATGTACATGTACATGTAACTCTTTCAAATGTTTTCATTTAAATAACTGTTTAAATAAATAAAGTATATTTTGTGTACTCTCTTTTGGCTCGTTATATGTTCCTGTACTTGTCCTCACTTCTTTTGTTATCAATGTATTATGCAAAAAAGATCATCAAAATGAATAATAAACAAATAAATAATAGTTCTACTACTTCTACTACTACTACTACTACTTCTACTAATAATAATAGGGATTATTATTACAAGAGTTTAACTTTTATTTCCACATTGTGCTATTTTAACTTAAGTAAATGACCCGAGTACTTCCACTCCTGATAACAACTGCACAGTGTTTAATTATAATAATACAAGACATTATTAAGTACAAAGTTTGTATATAGGTTGTAATGCTATATCCATTCAACCCCTCTCCCGCCCAACACCTCCTCTTGCCCTGTCCTCCCCCTCATGGGCGGTAACAGCTGTGGTGTCACCCCAAGTCACATGACATGGGCAGGTGGGAGAGACCTATGTGGGACAAGCATCCCCCCTTTCTTCCCCCCTATTCTCTCTCTGTCTGAATGTCAAACCCCACACGCACTCACAACCTCCTCTCTTCAAGGGCGTGGCCATTTTGCATTGCTGGAATGTGCTCCCTGTTTATAACTCATACTGTATGTCTGATCTCTCACATTGATCACATTCCCGGCATGTAGCTGTCGTGTTGCGGTCTCTCCCAAGAGACTGTCAGCTTATAGAGAGTAACTACTCATCAAATGTTCAGCCATTAACTACATTTACATTTCACTATACTTAGTTTCATGATTTGTAATGTGAAGCTCTGGGGAACTTCACTTTTAAGCCCTAATGAGACAATCTAAGACCCATTAAGGATTGAATTTGTACTTCATAATAAAAGAGGCTATTGAAACAGGACAATTCTTTTCACTATTTTGAAGATTCATAGTTCATCAACAGAGAGAACGTTTTCAAATTAAAGGGTGAATCAATTGCATATCAAATGGCAAAATAAGACTGTTTTATTTAGTAAAAGGTTGTTTGTGTTTGTTAGTGTTGTGACAAGGATTTGTTTTTATTTTAACATTGTTTTAAAACTAAATTGAACTCTAAAATGGATGCAGAACAAACACATGGATAATTCTATTTGTGATGAAGGCATGTTTATAGTGCTGGACTATGGTGATTTGATATATATGAATGCACCTGCCCATTACCTGATCAAGTTAGATGTCGCCTATCACAGTGCTCTGAGATGTGTTACAAACTGTAAAGCACTTACTCATCACTGTACCCTGTATGCCAGGGCAAGTCTGCCTTCACTTACTGTTCGGAGACTCAGTCATTGGTACATGTTCATCTATAAAGCCATGCTGGGTAAACTACCACCTTACATCTGCTCATTGATATCACAGAGAGTCGCAAGTAGCTATTGCCTAAGATCCCAGGATGTGTTTTTATTACATGTGCCAAGTGCTAGGACTGTTTTAGGCACTAAAACGTTTATGTGCGTAGCTCCTCTAGCTTGGAACACTCTGCAAAAAATATTAAAAATTAGCATTTTGGTTCCCCTGCATCATTTTAAAGCACAGCTTGAGGAATTGATATTTGATACTCCTGGTACCTGTCTTTGTGAATAAGTTTGTAAATTGTACCCCTGTCATTATGTTGTATGTGTCCTTTTTAGTTTTGTGTTACATGTGTAAACAATGTGCGGCAGGTCTCCCTTGTAAAAGAGATCGTTGATCTCAATGGGATTTTTACCTGGATAAATAAAGGCTACAATAGATGGAATAATTATAATTATTTTTGTATTTATTTTTCAACAGGGATAACAACAATAAAGAATAACAACACTAAGTATTTTTGACAAATGATAAAGGCATTTATGCTTCTCTTTTTCATGGCAAGTCAGTGCAATGAAGAGGGAAATGTTCAATTAGCTGACATTTAAGCACATTGCTGCCGTTGCAATGTGTAAGGCACCGTTTCCCATTTGGCTCCTTCGTTTATTTTACACAGTAATGGGTTATCCTTAAAGATTTGCTCTGGACCCCCAAGTTTGTTTGTCTAAATTATGTCACCATATAAGAGCATTTTATGAGCCTCAATATGAGGAGCCAGGCATTGATTTAAAACACCAAGTTAATTAAGAACATAACATTATATAGACAACATAAACAAATTAAAATATGCCTGGCTGACACATTGTAAATTGTTCTGACTGAGTTTGATTTACATTTCAGTAGTAACCAATAGTAACAAGCTGCATTTTAACTGATAATTGTTTATGAGTTTTTGATACAGTAGGAACGTTGTGTTTTTGGTTTAGTTTCCGGGGACAGTAATACGGGACGGACTGACCTGTGCGTGGATTCATTCAGCGAATATTCTCATATTTACGTTAAAAACACGTTAATATTTCAGCACGTTGTGTAAAAAGACATAACGAAAATACTTATATTTACAACCAGGGAGTGTAGACTGAATATTAAAGTGACGAGTTTATATTTGCTCCAACATGGCGGCTGCTCTCTCCTCTTCAAACTGACTGTTTTGGGCAAGAAGCTGGTAACTATCACATTATCTGTAACTAGTGAAGGAGGCAATATGTATAGCCTACTCTTACAATGTTTTATTGTGGTTAATCAGCATGACCATAAATGTAAAAGGAAATACGTATTTGCTTATGTTGTTTACATGGCACTTTTTGGTTTCATTTTCAACACTTAAAGCTGCAACCATTTAATGCTTCATTTCATCAGTTAAGACACATTTACTCACTCATTTTATTGAGAAACTATGATTTCTGTGGTTTCTGCAGAAGATGTTACTCACAGCTCGCCGCCTGTCCAAAGTGCTGCAGCTCACCCTGGCGGTCATCAAACCAGATGCTGTGGCTCACCCTGTGATGCTGGAGGTGAGAGTCTGTAGTGAGGTTTTAACTTTACAAGTTGTTCATGTAGACCCCTACTTAAGCTGTTTTATTCCTACCTTTACTGTTGCTGTCACGTTAGTCTTCCAGAGTGAGTAGAGATATCATATAAACATTAAGGCCTATGCATATTATTTTAGCTCCCTCCTCAAAATAAATAGCAATGTCAAAACTATCTAACAAATGTTCTTTCCTACAACATATGGACACAACATAATCAAAACGTAGATATAGCCAACTGTCCAATTGAGTGCCAACAAAATGAAAAAAAGTGTAAATAAATAATACTGTGAGGTTATTTTTATGTGTCTTATTTAGTTTTTCCATAAGATTTAGACATTGGAAGAAGCTCCATTTGATTTCTTGGTATATGGTCACAAGCCCTGAGGCCTCACAGCAATGAAAGCAGAGTCAATTATTAAAACCTCTGTCAATGGAAGTTCCCAATAAATTAGACCACTGTCATCCTAATTATGAGGGAAAGGAGAAGGACATTTTGTATCAGAATATTTTGGTATATTTTAAGTGTCACCCCCCTGCCAGCTCCAATTCCTGCAGATAATATAAAATATAAAAAGTCCTTCTCCAAGTCCAAAAAATCTGCACACAGTACCACGTATACAATTTTGATCTAGACATATTTAGGTTTAGGATATTATTGTTATCAGCTACAATATGGTACAACAAGATATAAACAACATTTTATCTTTCAGGCTCTTCATCAGAGGATCCTGGACAACAACTTTGTCATTGTTAAATGCAAAGACCTCGTGTGGAGGAGACAGGACTCGGAGAGGTTTTACGCTGAACATTCAGGTGTGCACACGACTCATGTGTTCAAATATATTTAAATGAGCAAAATGCTGCTGTTGTGATTCCATCTGACCACACAGTTTAGCCAGCAGTCTGTTTTGTCATACCTATTATCCAAACACCTTTTAAATCACAATTACGATATATTCATATAGGTTATAAATAATATATAAAGCAATTAGAATTAGCTGTACCTGCACATATTAATGCATCTCTAATAAGAAGCTGGTAATATTAAAAAACTACTTCTCCCAGCAGTGTATCTAGGTCCAAACAAGTGACTCATTGTGTACTGTTTCGCTGTAGCGCCCACACACACTGAGAAGTAAAAACAGAAACAACCTCTTCTTTAGAGCAGGGGGTCGTGAGATGATTACAAAATAAATAAATGTATTTTTAATTATTATTATTATTTGTATTATTATTATTAATAATAACGTGTGCATAGAAATGTTTCCGGTGCGGACTGGCCATCTGTAGAGGGTCGCGGGCTGAAAGGTTTGGGAACCCCTGCTCTAGAGGATGGTACCTGTACAATATCTTTCATTAAAGTCAGACAGTGAAGAAGAGTTTCACACTGTTAAATCGTTTTATAAAGAGTTGAACATTGATTATGCTCTGTTTTACTTCATAGGGCGATTCTTCTACCAAAGACTAGTTGAATTCATGTCAAGGTAAGCCATCATATGTGTACTTCTAAACCATGACAGCGTTGAATAATTTACTTTGTTAAAAACGTGTCTGTTGCAGTTGAAATGTAATAATAGAGACTTGTAATTCCCATACCAAATAACCCACAGGGCTGACACAGAAAAAACACACGTCAATATATGATGCTCTAATTTTATCCTCAGCAAGTCACCAATGAATCATTTTCTGGAACTTCACAACAGGAGTTTGAATTATCAGCGGACAACAGCCCTGGAGCAATATTCATGAAAGTCACCATGTAGCCCGCTGACAAAAGCTCCACGTGAGCTCCTCTGGATTGCAAAAAGGTTCTCGTAAACACAGTGTCATTATTGTGCCCTCGCAGCAGTCAATAGGTAGTTGCCACAGCAACCTTTCTCTGGATGCCATCAGCGTTATTGAAGACATTAGAAAACATCCTGTGCCCGGTTCCAGTCGGCATTGTTTGGAGATCAAATTGATAGACCAATATGAATTCCTGGACACGATCTTCCCAGGAGGTTTTGGAGTGGATAGATTGGATTCAAGTCAATTTGTTGCCTCTCTGTTGAAGCATAGAAAGCATCCAGTGTTAAAATTGAACGTCAGAAAAACACAGAGCAGAGTGTGGTTTTGCTATCGGCTTACATGGCGTGATAATTGGCTGTGATTCATGACTTCTCAAACTTGATGTTGTGTTTCCTCTCAGTGGTCCGGTGCGAGCGTACCTTTTAGCCAGAGAGGATGCCATACGTCACTGGAGAGAACTGATGGGGCCAACTAAAGTTTTCAGAGCCAGATACACAGCGCCCGAGTCTATCAGGGGCCAATTTGGACTCACAGACACACGAAACACCACTCATGGCTCAGGTAGGAGGAATGCATTAACATACAGTACGTAAAAAAAACACATTGCTTTCGTATTATCACGAGGTGTCAAATTACATACTGATTACGGATTTTTTTTTAAATTGTATTATCTCATTCCTCTTCAGATTCCATTGAGTCGGCACGGAGAGAAATCGATTTCTTCTTCCCAGACTTCTGTATGGAGGAGTGGATGGACAAAGAGGAGCCATTGTTCAGATCTGGACAAATACATTATGACCATGAAAAACAGATACACACTCTTTCAACCCAAAGCTGACCTCAGAACTGCTCAGAATCCCTCAAGACTACGTAGAAAGTCTGCAATAGTTTGTCGATTTGCTCACAAAAATGCCATCTGCCAGAAAAGATGCTTCAATCCTACATGCTCTATATAAAATTGATGTGTGACCATCCCTAAACGTGCATGTGCCAATATGCTTATCCCTAGTCTTTGTACTTTCCTTGAATATAGAAAGCTTATAAGTCGTATAAATGAAGGACCATAAATGTTTTCGTTTAATTTATTAAACAAGAAATTACTATGTAAGAAAATGCAACACCTTTCTGTACAAAACGACACAACGCGTAGAGGACAATGTTCCACACCGTCGACACTAACTCCAAGCTTCACTGTAAATAGTGCAATCATCACAATCACTTTCCTGAGCCCTACAGATCGTAGCACAGCAGCAACTACATGTTGTGTATTCATATATGTTGGGAGAAACGATTACAAATTATATTTCAACACATCTATCCTCAAAGCATCCTAACATGTGGATGAGAACGCGTTTTAGATTGTAGTTCACTTGAGAAATTCAACATTTGCCCAAAAACTATTTCCTGTCCTCATGTATGTTTTTCAGGTCTGATACTGTATGTACTGTCATGTTTTGTATGTTCTATGACTAATCTACAGTTTATCATGTCAATGTAGTAACAGGCACCATAGCATAACATCATACAGTGTATACTTTTAAAGAAGAAAATCCGCCATGTTGTCAGGACTAGCTATATTGTACAGCTCAGAGTCTCATCTCTCCTGTGCTTCCATCAGCCGTCAGATTTGAAACAAAGACTCCATCAGTTCACTTTGTCATCTCTTTTAGTTCAGCTTCTTCCAGTGCCCCCTGCTCTCAGGTGTTTTCTGTGTTCACCTGTTTGAGGTTTTCCGAGGGTTTCATAACCTCGTAGGTGGTGAGGGACTTCTTCACCTTCCCGTTCTTGTCCACCTGATGGATGCTCTGCGTCACCGTGATGGTCACCTGCTTGGTCGACATCCGATTGTCCTGCCATTTAGTCTGATGATGATGATGAAGGAAGGAGGAACATGGGATATTAAAAATATATACCAACTTTGTTGTAAAGATTGTGCATTTGTTTAGATTGCAGATGGTGGCATGAGAGCTACACATCTTTTTGTTTATATATACATTTCATTAAATTGATTAACTGATCATTTATGGACTATATTTAGCACAGACAGGTGCCAACATTCTGACAATGTTACTAAGCTACTGTTAAGTTAACTTGAGTAAAATATGTATCAATTAATCTGGCTTGATCAAGAGAAGCATCAAAATGTCCATATTTGAGAAGCTGGAACCAAGAAATGAAACTTTAAAATATACTAGATGATTGCTGCTTACCTTTCTGACAATCTAGTTATGAATTTGATCACTTATTGTTTCAGCTCCAGCAATGAGCAGGACATAAATTGGTAAAAGTGAATGGTTTGATTCGCACACCTGGCAAATAATGGTGTTTCCCACAATGCAATACTCATACCAGAGAAATGGATACATAAGAAAAAGTGATGTGACATATTCTAAATGTGGGGAGAGTCTTACAATCTCCTCAGTGTGTAGCACACTTCTGCGCTGCACTGTGGTTCCAGATGACAGAATCACCGCCTCTTTGGGGGGAGAGCCCATTAGAGCAGGGGGACTGCCCGGCTTCTCGTCGCTCAGACTGGCTTCAGACACGGCCGAGCAGACCTTCAGGTACGCCTGAGCAGGAAGAGGGAGGCCTTCCTCGAAGAAATCTGGAACTACAAGAAAACAAAACCTCAGCTTGCTTTACAATCCAGGATATGTGGGTTAATCAGTAACCCTCATACTGGGGTTCCTGTTACCTGATTGGATTACAAATGTTTAACAAAAGCACACATGACAAGGTCCTTCATTCATAGGTGTGTGATACTCGGGTAACACAAATATTTTACTTGAAAACATACATTCAATAGCATGAATACCATAAACAAAATGTATGAATTATATTGACTTCTAGTTTTCGAGAAATTATATAAAGAATAGGGATGAAAGACTCATAATGGAATAGCAGAAGGGAGTTTTATTTCCTACATTATTTAACATGCTAAAGTAAGAAGTAATTCAAGAGCTTAAACAGTAGCATGTTTGTACATGAAATAAATAATAAAGCTGATAAAGTGTTACTGGATCTCTTAGACAGGGTAATCAGGGGATTCTGCTCCATGATAATTGCTATTTACAAATCTGGAATCCCCTTTCTCAGCTTTTCAGCACATCACAGGTTTTTTCCCATTCAAAATAACCAGCCATGCCAATATAACTATTATGGTATCCCACTGATTATGATTCCTGTAGTGTAGAAGTGTGTTATTTGTAAATGGCACCGCATTAGTCACAGGTCTGAGCTTTCTGATGGCTTACAGGTGCATTACTGCCACCTCTGAACTAATCTGACTACAGTGTGAAGTGTCATGAATAATGGAAACACTCGGAATATCATTCTGGAGCGGTACTTGGTGTGCATGTCAAGTGGGAGTTAAATGATCTGGATGACGGTATTTTACGGATGTTCACCTTCCTTAGCAATGTGTGAACTTACAGTAAATATGCAGGCTTTTGAGGGACTCACCAAAGACAGAACAAAGACTTTTTAAGGGAAATGCACGGTTAATGTTAAAGATAACCACTACATACTACAGATGTACATTTATTTTACATTATAGTCTCACAACTGTTTAATACAAGCTTTGTGGTTGCTAGTTGCTGATTCATTTGGCCGATTTTGGTTCTGTTTTATCTCCTCTGAGTAGACCTTAACTGAATTGTCTTCACAATTACATCAAGGCTCCTCTGCCTTCATTCAACAGCAGCTGTATCTGTTACCATGAGAGCCAAGTCCTGTCCCAGCACCGTGGTTTTTGATGTTGCCTATTATGTGCATTTACTGATTAATTTCCTCCCGGCTTCAAAGAAAGCGCACCCGCAATTTAGTGCATAACAAGAAGAAGAAGAATGGCAGAATGGTAGTGGGATGCATTTGTTTCTGAGCTGTATATGGTGACTAACTGAAAAAATGGTCTGCTGCATGTCTTGGGTCATACATAACCCTGAGCTACAGCATGAGGGGCATTACAACAGTTTTTCAATTTCCTTTTTCAATTTGCTGTGTGCACAATGGCTTGTTGTTTGTAAAAGCCGTGAAAAACCTCTGAAAATGTTTGACGTCAAAAAGGAAAACACACACAGGATTTTCCTTACAGAGAGTGTCACACTTCACTTTGATGTTTAGAGTGTGTTAGGAAGCCCATTCATTCATAATAATGTTACTTACAGCATAAGCATGAGCTCTCCTAGCCTGGTGTAAATAAAGGAACAAACACAAGCACATTTTCAGCCCAAGTAAATAAAAAACACTGCTTATTTTAACGAACATATTCACAATTAAACAGAAACATAGGATTGGAATTTCACATATACCATACTCTGCAGTCGGACCCGAACAAAGCACTTATTCATACAACCATAAATGTATTATTCCTTTGTTCAGCAGTTAAATTACTGCCTTTTCCCCGTTTTGAGACCAATTAAGTATTCAGTTATCCAACCACTCAACTCTAATTCATTCTCCTTACCAGGGGTGATTGTTTTCTCCGATGCGAAGCCAGCCTCAGAGTTTTCGGAGGGGATGCTCTGGATGGAGGACAGGGGGATGTCGGTGTCGGTGCTGGTCAGCCACGTGGACTCTGTCTCCTTGGTCCAGCTCTCCAGGTACCGAGGCTCCAGAGCATCGGTCCTGCTCCCCCCGCAGCCCATAGCTCTGCTTCCCACCTGGACCTTTCTTCATGCAGCGCGGATTAAAGGAAAAGCGGAAACAGATTTACACTGGATTTCGTTGTAGAGACTGAGTGACACTTTTTCCTTCTAGACATAAAAGATTCATGATGATTCAGAAACTATATATTTTATTCTAAAGATAACCTTCACTGCTAAATGATATATTAGAAATGAAGCTACTGGAACATGTAGTCAAATGTAAAAAGTAAATGTGTATTTTGACAATAGATTAGCCATGTCTCACTTTTGATTTGCTGACATTTAAATAGTGTACATTTGATTTGAGGGACTTTGCAAAATATTGTTTTTGCAAAAAATGTAACAAAAACTTTACATTCAGGTCAAATAATGTATTGTGTGTTAAGTAGAGCCCAGTTTAAAATACAATTACTCAGGTTTTGGGAGTGGCAGTGCTACATTGATACCAATCATAGATACAGTTCCTAATGACAATTCATTGAACTGTATTTTACCATATGTTACAGCTGTGGCCTCTGGGTTTTGGGAAATGCTATAAGGTATGGTATAGAAGATTAAAAAAAAAAAAAATCTAGAAACGAATTGGCACATAATTGGATGAAGAAAGTGTTGCAGGCCAAACATATAATATGCTGCACAGTTAAATTCTGTACATTTTACCATAATAAGTCTCATAATACTTACAGAACAGCACGCAGCTGTGTTAAAAACCCAATGTCCTCATAAGATCAGCCTCCAGTGACTTATTTCCTTTAAATAGCAGGTTGAGAGGTCCCTTCTTTGTTGACTCAATCTTGTTTACAGTTCTCCATGAGCATCCAAAGGCACCATCGATCACCAAATCCAGCAAATCACCTGAGAAAGGAAGAGTCAAATCTGTCAGACTGCAATTAAAGCTTTGCTCTGTTTGATACATAAAAAGACTGAATGACTCTCCCATAGAGACACATATCTAACTCTTTTGTGGGATAAGTCCTTGCTGTGTAGCCTATTGAATGCTGTATTGTTGTATTTGTTCTACTGTTACCATATACATTATGGTTGTTTATAATAAACTGTTCTATATATCTATCTATCAATCTATCTAATCGATATCTAATCAATACCTACCATAAATTAGACACTGATTAATTCTGAATTGTATTGATGGACTGACACTAAATAGGATGTCCACAATTACATTTCCTATAGATCATTACATCGCCTGGTGTAGCCTTTAACAATTCAATAACGACAAAGGTTCAGATTAGGGAATCCAAATAGACACTACAGAAGGTAAAGACAATGGTAAATACGCAGGACATTAATACCGATATTAGTCCGTATCGCATCATAAACAGCTATTATCGCTACAGGCCAACACAAAATAGCAACGATAGCGTGAAATGAATAACAAAATAAAACCCTGGATGATGCCAGGCTGAAACGCGAAATACGCCAATTTTCTGTTCGGTTTATATGTGAAAAACGAACACCTTAGAGTCAAATATGATAAAGCCTTACTGGTGTGATTGTATCGCCCCGTCTGCTCCCGCGTCTCGTCGCATCATAGGCGCGTGACATGTTGCCAATAATCAAAATCCTCCGGTCGATAACACGTCCGTGCACTCCACGTGCTCCAATTCACCAGAGAAAAGGTGGATTTACAGAGAGAGTGACATGATTCAGCTATTCTCATGCAGAAACGGGGTATGTGGGGGGGGGGGGGGGGGGGGGGGGGGGGGATTGCCTCTACTGTTACCAGGTCAACTTTAAAATAATTCTGGTCCTCCACTTTCTGCTTTATAATAATTAATTTAGTTGCATTTTGGCCCATTGCAGCCAGCTAATGTATACCTGAACTGCTAAATTAATGGTGTAACTGAAAATTAGGGCTGCAACGATGAGTCATCGATCATTAATCGGTCAAGTGATTTTGAATGTAAACAAATAGACGTTTATTTTCTATAGAAAACTGAGTTCTCAGGCTCTTCAAGTAGAAATGTTTTATTATTTTCTGTTTTATATCAATGTAAACATTACCTTGGTCTGAGAGAAACTAGGATGCTGGCTCTTCAATAACTGACTGAACCATTAATCGAGTAAAAATATTAGGCAGATTCATCGATAATGAAAATAGGAGTCAATTGCAGCACTATTACAAAAGCTATGATTATTCTACTCTGACATTTTCCCAATTAATAATTATTAATCATGCTTGAATATGAGGGGTAGATTGAATAATTGTCAAGTTGTTAAGCTTTAAAAAAAAACATTTTGACTAATCATTGGAAACCTGTGACCTAATACATTATGCCCCTAACACCAATAAGATGTTCACTTTTCTGCCCACAAGGGGACAGTCACTGCCCACTCCTTTACTCAAAGAACTGGGCTGGTAAATAAATGACTATAGTTCCCAGATGACCAATAAACCCTTTAACAATGTGTTAGGGGGATAATAATGTTTGTGTTTTTGGTGGTTGTTGGTTGGTATCTATAAATCTTAGCAAAACATTTCAGACTCACCATACTCTATCGCACAGTGCTGTGTGCAAATGTTAAGTGAATGAACACAAGAACACTTGATTTCATTGACAAATCCCAGTTTAAGTTATTTGTCAAATAGACCTTAATCAGAGCTGGTATATCTATAAAGCTCAAATGTGATAGGTGACCCTTTTAAATATATTCAAGGTATAATCTCAAGTGCATGAAACAAAGATAAACAGTTCTATAATAGGGAAAAAGTACCTGCACATGGATTGTAGGAAAAGCGCAGGTGTTACTAATAACATTTCAAGTACTCAAGTGTACCAGTAAGCCATGGCTGTGTGGCATTGATCCAGCATTCACAACACAAGGACCCTGAGCTACTAGATGGAAGTCAGCCTTCATTCATTGTATTATTTGCACCTGATGTCAAAATGTGTTAGGTGAATCAGGCTTATGGAGTACTGCCAATATGTGGTAATATTCACTTCCCCATGTAGAAGTTAATTCATTCCTAAAACTGCATTCCATTGATTGCTTGTAAAACTTTTTCCAGCAAAGTGCCAATTCATCACAGCCCTCTTTCTATTTTTTTTTTATTGCCACAATGAACCGTAAAGAGACAGTAAGCAATATTCCTCCCTGCTTTATGGAAGTGATAATATTTGAAAAACACAGCCGCTGTGAAGGAGAGGTCTGCTCCTGTGAATGAAGTTCATTTATTTTTTGATGTATCAGCTGCCAATAAAGCTTATTACTAAAAACAAATGAGGAATGGCGCTTCAACTGTAAGATCAATTCAATAATGGGGCAGCTCACCACTTGTTCCCGTCACACAGCGGAAGATGTAATGGGCAAGCAGTGTACAGCATACTTGATGCACAAAACACTTCAAAATACAGGCGCGATAATCAGATTTACAACTCCTGGGAAGGTCTGCTGATGCTGTGAGCATTACCGGTGTGTAAACTCTGGCCTGTACATTACATTTTTCTTCACTACTGGACAGTTCGTAATGGAGACTGACAAGAAAGACAGAAGAGAACATTTATTCCCAAACCATCAACAAGTCAACACTGCAGACACCTTCATCACTTACCATGCACCACTGAACCTCCACTCTGTAAATATATACAGTGTATGCATGAGCAAAAAAGCACTCAGTTGGAAAGTAGAAACACAGACACCACATTTATTTAGACACTGTGGGGGATTATCTAAAGGATTAAACTACCAATTGGAGTCCTGCCCTTTTCATACATATTCAAGCTTTATTTTGGTCTGAGCTGAATCAAATCCCTGTGACATTCTCTCTCAGCCCCCGTCACAAAACACAATGAATCTTGCTTCCTGGGGACAGTCTGGTCAATATGAGTCTGGACAGCTTTGATTTGTATGTCCTGCACCTCTGTCCTATTGGACTACTGGTCAATAGGCATGTCTCCCCATTACCCCAGCGATTAATGTGGCGCGCTGCCAGACGCTACACTGGCATGAATCATGGGTGAGAGTTCAACTGGTTCAGCTGCAAACAAGGACGCCTGCCTCTGAATCTTATAGAACAATTTAAGTTAGGATTAATGCCATCGGGAGCCTTGTTTTCAGTCTGTGATACACTGAGCAGAGCTGGTTTAAAGTTGTTTAGTGTGAGATATTTATATGTCCTTTGATTGACGACCATTACATTGGAAATACACCATTTTGCTTTCTTTCAGGAGTTACATGAGAACAGCTCTAAACTCACAAATTGAATCAAACGTGTGAACACTAGAACAGTGAGGTGCTTTTATGTTGTTTTATTTCTACTTCGTTAGATAATATCTGTACTGTATATAACATCCACACTTCACAAGAAAAGAAGGCTATACTACAAAGTTTGGGTTATTTTCAAGGTGGCTCTCTTTTAACCTGGCAGACTTAACCCAGAGTTTCAACCTGAAATCAGTTTAAAAAGGACCTTACACTAACTCATTGTTAGGCATTATATATATGCACATTTGTTACATAAAATAATTACAGCAAACAAAGCCATGCAGTTACAGTACACAAAATAGTATGCATTGTGTTGTTGTTTTTTGCCACTGCAAACCTATTTTAGTAATGCAGAACATTTGATTTTAAAGAGGGTATATTGAACATTTGTTGTTTTAGTTGTGTTTATCTAAAAAAACTGTAAAATATAAAAAACAATTGCGTCCTCCCTGTATTTTCTACCTAAAAATCTATCAGAAAAAAGTCTGTTTTGTTTTTATTTGCAAGGCCTTATTATATCATCTTACTGAACTAATGAATGAATATGGTCATAGTGCTTTGTGGCCAATTTTCTTACACTGGCTCTAAAAACAAGCGCCCTATAAAATCACAGCAGCATACATTAATAGTGCTCTAAAGCCTATTATTAATCAGTTCGACGTTTACTTGCATATTAAATGCGGTATTATTCCTTTAAACCACAGTGTTGCCATTTTGGATGATGTATTTATGCTTGGTTGTAAGTCCAGTTATACTGCTGCTTTATTGCACCAATAGAAAACCAATTACAAAATGGGTGTTTTAGTAGGGGATTTATCATAAAAAATATTCAATCTCAAAAAATCTGCAAGACTGCAAGTATTTTGAGTCAAGCCTTGCCACAGAGTTGTGAAAGTAAGGTCCTATTTTTTGTGAATTACAGGAAAGTCTTGTGTGAGCCCAAGTCTCCAGTCTCAGGCTGACACCAACATGGCTCCACTGATAACAAATCAGAAACTAATTAACTTTATAATTAGGTAGGTACGTTTCCATTTAAGTGACATATGCCCATTTTCCTGAAAATTCACTCGGGTTCATTGTGTCCTCAGCTATGGTCTTCATGATTCTTCAACAGAAATGTGTCATTCATGTCCATGAATAGAAGCACATTTTTAAATAGTGGGTTGTTAAACCAAACTCTGCCATGCAGTTGGCCTCCGCATTCATCCCCCACTGCTTCATTTTTAACAGCTGGTCAAGGTTGATAGCGAATAATATGCACTCTCCATTGATTTGCAAAGTTTTGCGGGGAGAAAATAACTCTTTTCTGGCAAGTTCTGTCAGGAGGGGGAGTGAATGAGCTAATATGCAGCAGCAAGGCAGCCAAATCCAAACTTTCTCTGGGATTTCAGTGAGTCAGCCAGTTGGTTACTGCTCTGGAAAACTAATTAGGATGCTTTTAGGGAGAGCAGAGGGGGAAAGTTGACTCCAATCACAAAGGACCAAGCATTGTTGCAGTTATACCATATTGTTCCAGACATGATTGAATGTAATGTAATGAATTGAATGTAATGTGAAGACATTACATTTTTGTGTGAAATTGGTCTCTACTTTGTCCCAATTAATGCCAAAAATAATACAATTCTAACCAAAAATGTCAATTTCTTGACATTCATTCACCTTGGAAAACAACGAAACACTCTGCGAATGACACTGAGACATTATCATGTTCACTTGTCCAGATTCTATCAGCAAATTGTGGATATTGGAGCTTGCAGCGGGACAACGAGCAGCTTATCCAGATTGAGCTTTGCCTGGCGATTGTGGTTCAGTGGCATCAATCACATCTCTGGGGCTTTTTTTTCTTCTGGCAGAGACGTGCCTCTTCTCCTCTGACTGGCACCAGCAGTCTCCCCCTATGTAGAGACGTGCCAGAGATTTCTAAAGAGGTGCTGTTCTTTCAATCCATCATCTCGTCAGAGCCAACATAACACCTTTTCATTAGTGCAGAGTGCTTCAGAGGAGAGGCACCACAACTACCTAAAATAAGCAAGGGGGGGGGGGGGGGGGGGGGGGGGGGGGGGGCTAACAACAGTACTTTCATTCCAGGCAAATGTGGTAATGACATGTGAATGGGTTTATTGATCATAAGCTTTTATTTGCTTTTAAGGAACGATAAGAGCGGCTCAGAAGCATGCAGCCTTTCATTCACTATTTCACCATGGCTTTCTTGCAGATAGTCGACTTAAAAAACCTTGGAAAGAGCCTTGACTGTACAATTCATAAAAATCATTACACTTGCAGCTGTATATATAAATAAATATATGGGACGTAGGATGTCTGCGTTAATGGAAACTGGAATAAGTAACTGCAAAGCAGAGCATCATTAAGTATAAATATATATATATATCTTCAGGGCTTAATTTAGTTAATATATTTCATCTTCTCTTGATGAATCAACCT